TGATAATATAAAAATAGTAAATACAAAGCAAATTTCATTCCTAGGAAAGAAATGGTAAAACATATTTTAAAAGAAAAAGACACCCAAAATATATTTTACTTTCACTTCACGAACAGGAGATCACTAATACATCCAAATAGTTGCATTCTATAAACGAAAAAAGGAATTATTTCCAAGCTGATAGGTTCCCTCACTAAAGAGATGATTTCTCATACTGGGGTGGCCCGGGGTGCATTCAATGTAAATGTCTCAGGACCATCTAATGGTATCTGACACCATTAGCTTGCATATGAGTTTTGGATAGCACTTTCCCACCCTACAGGCTCTCTGCACAGGCTCATTTGCTGGGTCCCAGGCATCAGGGCTCCCACATGTAATGCATGGATAGAGATCCTCCTTCCACTTGAAGAAGTCCTGTAGGAAAGGACTGGAGAGAGATGTGCTACCTTTCTCTGCAAGTGTTTGTACAAGGGACTCAAAAGGACAAGAGAGCCAAAGTTGTGGCTTCTTTTGGAAATATGGTGTCCAAACAAATGAGATTTTAAAAACAGGCAGACTGGAAACATGGTATGATCAGTGACTGGCATGCTGTCACTGCCTGTAAGCAAGAGCAAACAGGCCCTATAATGGCTGAAAGCACTCACCTGTTTACCTTCTGGGACCAGGTTGAGGGTTCCATAGATGGCCACAGTGCTTTCCGTTGAGAGGATCACTCCATTGTAACATTGACACTAGGAGGAGAGGCAAAATACAGCTTCAGAAGTTTGAGCTTTTATCCTTCATTCAAAAAATAAAAAATAAAATAAAAGGAACACTCCTATTTCCATCTAAAAAAATCTGAGGGTTAGAATCCAGCCTGTGGGTGGCTCCACACTCCTCTGCTATTCCCAGCTCCAGACAAATGGAGGATGCTATAGAACAGCCATTCCCAATGTTGGTCTCCTGGGACCCTTTCACACTACACTTCAGGTCTCCCTTATTCAAAATGCTTGGGATCAGAAGTGTTTTGGATTTGGGAGTTTTTCAGATTTGGAAATATTTGCATATACATAATAAGATATCTTGGAGATGGGACCCAAGTCTAAACATGAAATTTTTACTTGTATGCATCTTGTATCTGAAACCTGAAGGTAACAGCTTGAATTTTATAGACCATGTTTTTAATATTTTTTGTGCATGAAACAAAGTTTGTGTATACTGAATCATCAGAAAGCAAAGGTGTCACTATCTCAGTCACCTGTGTGGACAATTTTAGATTTTGGAAACTTCATATTGTGGAATTCCGGGAGACTAAAACCGTGTACAGTTATAGCACTCTGATGCCACTTTAACTGCCACACCTTCAATCTATGGAAACCTGGGCTTTGTAGTTTTGTGAAGTGTTTGTAAGTCACCTTGGGTCCCACATCAGGAGGAAAGTGGCACATAAATACAACTAACCAAATAAATAAATAAATAAATAAAAAGCTGTGGAACTTCCATCCACAAGAGTCTCAGCTGGTCTGCTTTCTTTCCACCAGCAAGCAAAGTCCTTTTTATTTAGGCAAGCCTTCAGTTCTTAAACCACGTGGCAGAAGGCTGGTATTACTTTATTAATTTTAACCATCAATGAACAATGAATTTATAACTGCTGTATTTGTTATTTTTTCAAAATTAAATCATTTTAAAAAAACCAAAATGTAGCAGAAGGGTGTTTTCAAGGCAGTGTGATGTACTTTTATCTTTTTAATTATGCCTAAAATGTGTTTTAAATTGCTTTAACTATGTGCTACTTAAATATAACTGTTTGTTTTTCCATGTTTATAAAATTAAATTTTAGCTGAACTTTGTTTGAAATTCCTATGGGTTCTGTGCCCAGAGGAAGGCAGGATATACATTAAATAATTAATAAAAAATAGAATTCTCTGCCCAAGAGTTCTACTGTCTCACCAAAGTACAAGTCCCTGGACTCTGCAGGATTCGAAATCAGAACTGTGTAGTAATGAAGGGACCACTGATGATGGAGTAAGTGCAATCTCCTCTCAAATTTATCTCTGGCTGCTGGAAATGATGGAAATTGTCTAGGCCTCATTTGGGGTCCACATGGCTGATAAGAAGAGCTCTGCTGGACACTCTGAAGTCCATCAACCTGTGTCTCACAGTGGCCATTGGCAGACAGGGGTCCATGGACAATTTTCCATTGTTCCCCCCCTCCAGTAACTGGTCTTCAATTATACAGGCCTCCCCCCATTTTCACAGACTTGGAGTTTGCGCTCTTGCCCGTTCATGGGGTGGGGAGGGACACAATGGACAAAATGGGGGGTGCGCGGGCATTCAACCCAATGGGATTTGAATATTGGTGATTTTCCGTTTTTGCAGGGGTGTGTGTGTCCGGAACAGATCCCCTGCGAAAATGGAGGGGCAACTGTATTATGTCTTGAAACCAATGGCAGCTGGTGATGTCCCAGTGGCTTTTAGTCTAAAGTAGGGGTGACAAAACATGTCTCAAGGGTTTCACGTGGTCCCCAATACTTTTTGTGACCATAAAAGCACCAAAGGATATTCCTCAGGCCTTCAGACCCACTCTAATGCCTTCCAGAGCGCCCCAAACTGGCTGAAACTGAAACTGATAGTGGCATGATGTGATTTCTGTTTTCAGTTTTATGTTGAAGTGACCAGCTGCAGGTGAGGCCCCTTGGGAATGTGGAAGGGATAGCACCCACCCATAGCACAGTTGCTTTGTTATGGTTATGTATAGTCTGAGCCCTGTATCTGCAGGGAAACATTTCCAGACTTACCATGGATTGCAAAAAATAAAATAAAATAAAATAAAAATTTTTAAAAATGGATAACGGTAAACACTTTATTTCTGCCAGAAGCTAACCAAAGGTTTGCTGGAGGACCTCCAAATGACTAGAGGGACCATTTTTTCCAGGCACAGGTAAGTAAACTATGGTTACGAATCCCGTGGACATGGGGGTCAGACTTTACCTTCAAATATCACGAGTTTTCTGTTTACGTTTACTCAGAGGATGTTCTCCATTGCCTCCTCTGAGGCTGAGAGAGTGTATGACTTGTCCAAGGTAATCTAATGGGTTTCCATGGCCATGCGGGAATTCGAATCCTGGTCTACTGAATTCCTACTTGAGCAATCAAACCACTATACCACAGTGACTCTCTCAGTTGCCTGCCCTTATTATCCAAAGAGCTGAACACCATTCTCCAAAGGTGTTTAGTACTTTGGATAATACCTTTTGAAGTTTGGAATAAACCTAGAGAAGATTTGCTGCCTCACTGACATGAAAGCTACTAGCCAGAACCTTTTGAAATTTGGAGATTCCTATAGGCACCATGACTAATTCTGGTGGACTAGAGCCCCGCTGCTATGTCAGAGTGGACATCAAAGGATCTCCTCTTCTCTCTTTGTGAGGAAGTGGTTCCATGCCTCTTGGAGTAGAAGAAAAGTCAGACTAAGAGAGGGAGCTCACCAAGAGAGAGGAAGCGAGAAATGGAAGTGCAGGGAGAAGCAGGTTTGATAGAGGAAAGAATAAGCTGCTTACCAGTTCATCAGACAAGACACACTGCAGATAACCTGTACCATCCCTTAATACAATGAACATCAAGTTTTTCCCTTTAAAATAAAAAAAAACAACAACAGAAAGTTAAAATTTTAAAATATTTAATTTCCATTCCTTAAAAGTTCTCTTGCATTCCTTTCACTCTTACAAAAAAACTCTTGAAAAAGTAAACATACCCAAGTCACCTGGAGTTTATGTTTGCTCCCAGACAGAACTGACTTCTTAACATGGTTCTTACCTTGTCTGCGCAATCTGTGGACCCAGCCAAAAACCTTTACTCTCTCTCCTCTGTGGGCCTCTAGTGCACGGATTTTCACCTATAAGGCAGCAAAGGAATACCTTTTATTTGCTTTAATAATATATACTGATACATGATTGCTGCTTGCTTGCTTAATAGCAAATCAAGAATATTAAAGAAATCTCCTTTGCACATGGAAATGTTTCTAGCCATAGTTTGTGTGTTTGTGTGTTGTGTGCCTGATCAGTAGTTAAATGGCTGCTTCAATAAAAAAAAACAGTCTGCCTACTGGAGAGCAGAGAGAGGAACTAGCTAAGCCTTCTATGGAAGGGCATTTGTTGTTGTTGTTGTTGTGTACATTCAAGTTGTTTCTGACTTATAGCGACCTTAAGGGAAACCCTGTCATGGGGTTTTCTTGGCAGGATTTGTTCAGAGGGGTTTGTCTGTGTTTTCCTTTGAGGCTGAGAGAATGTGACTCGCCCAAGGTCACCCCTTGGGTTTCTATGGCTGAGAGAGGGATTTGAACTCAGGTCTCCAGTCATAATCCAATGCTCAAACCACTACAGCAGACAGCATCACACTCCTTGGGCATATACTAAAAAATGTGGGGTAATTTAAGTTTCCCAGGGCTTCAACCTTTTTAAAGGAAACAAAAATATACAAATATGAAAGCTAAACCTGTCAGAGTCTGGCTTTCATTAGCAGAATAGCAGAAATGTGACTTTGTCTAACTATGCTTCCCTAAAGAACTAAGACTGAGTCAAAAAAACAACAAACACGTAGCTTGTAGTTTAACAAACAATTATGGCTTTCATCTATATTTACATAAAAAAACTAAATCCTAATCTAACTAGTGGTGGTTCTGATAAAGAGACAAAATCTCACCATCTTTAAGAAAGCAGGAAGATGGAAACAGCTCAGTTGAGAATCTTGAGAGAGAAAAACTGTAATTCCCAAAGAGGGAATGATCTAAGTCACAAGGTTAATCTGAATAAGAGAGAAGGGAGGAGTTTCCAAGCAGGGATCTCTATCTACTTAAGGAGGGGAAAAGAGAATGCAAAGATTTTCCAACACTACTGGATTCATGCCTGCAGTCTCTAATGCATATTAAAACCTCACCTTTGTTCCTAAATATGTATTGCAAAGACTTGTGAGAAATCTTGTAATGCCTGGATGGTTCAGGTGTGACCATGTGCATTTTTACTTAGCTGAGCAGGGATTTGAACCCTGGTCTCCTGGAATCCTAGTCCAACACTCAAACCTTTACACCACACACTGGCTCTCACAAAATTAGCTACAGAGTTTGAAAGGCACTTAAGCATCACATTTCCCCACTTTGTTTGTGTCTATGCTGGCTAAGGCTGATTGGAGCTACAGTCCAAAATCATCTAGAAGGCCTTATGGTCCTCATCCCTTTGTTAAATACTATGTGCACATGCACACACAGACACACAGCAGGCTAAAGTTTAGGATGCCTATTCAAATATTTTACTCACACATTTGGGTTCTGGGAGGCTGGGATCTTTCTTAATGACGATCTTCTTTGCCTCCTCCAAGTTCTTCTCACGTCGCAAGAGGTCTTCTGCCTGTGGGTGGTTGATTGTTTTAAAAGTAGATTAGTTCAGTGCATACTCAAAATAAAAGCATGTGGGGTGGAACCATGTATCATTAAAACCAAGAGCAAGCTCAACATTAATTTTCAGTGGAAAGTGGACAGTACTGGGAAGGTTACACCTCAAACAAGTCTAGATGTATTTCATGCAAAAAGACTTCAGAGCCAATCCATTCAGAAAATTTTAAGTAGCACCAATGGGAAAGACCTCAATTAGCACAAATTCTCAGATAATCAAGGTGCAAAGTTGTCCAAATTCAACAGACCACCTGGAGGTTTTCTTCCATATTGTAGGTAACATACTATTCCTGTCTGTGCTAGACGAAAGGAAAAACAATATAATTATGGGCCTTTGCAGACTGCCAGAAATAGTGCATATTGAGTCCACTTTAAGGGTTAGGGCTAGTGCTAGGGAATAATGGGAATTGGTGTTTTTTTGTTTTTTTTTCCTGAGACATTGAGCATTCTCTGTCAGAGAGCTCTGGTGCCACAATAAAATACATTTCCCATGATTCCCTAACCCTAACCCTAACCCTTAAAGGGGACTCAATTTGCACTATTTCTAGCAGTCTGCAAAGGCCCTATGTCACTCTCACATAGAGAAGGCTCACTGACGCTCATTCCCACCACACAATTATAACTCCTTAATTCCCTTTTAACGGCCATGGTTGCATCTTATAGAATCTAGGGTTTCACAACTAGGTGATGTACTAGAGCTCTTTGGCTGAGAACTCTAAATATCCCTTCCTAAACAGCCAATCTCAGGATTTGGAAACATGGCAGTTATCACAATGCTCATATGTTACAACTGCACAGTCTGAATAGGCCCCTAAGAAAGCTTCCTGTACAAATATATAACACTGGAATTAGCTTAAAAGTTATCTAAATTAGTCCTATTGTTGTTGTTAAGACTGCCTGTATTCTCTTTGATGAGAACAGATTCTATTTTGTTTTTCCTTGTGGCTCTTCAGATGCTGTTGGAAGGCAACTCCCAACATCCCTCACCAATGGCTAACTGGCTAGGCTGATAAAGTTTGTAATCTAGTAACATCTTGGGGACCACAGAGTTCCTATTCATGTACTACAGCAGAGTTGATCCATAGAGAGATATCCTACTTCTGTCACAATAGCATCACATCCTTCCTCCTAAGCATTCAGGATTCTCTATTTTATCTTCACAACAAGAAAAAGTACTGGTTGAGTCTCCCTTATCCAGAATTCCAAATATTCCAAAATCCAAAATTGTCCACATGGGTGGCTGAGATAGTGACACTTTTGATTTCTGATGGTTCAGTGTACACAACCTTTGTTTCATGCACAGAATTATTAAAAGAATTTGTATAATGTATCTTCAGGCTATCCGTATGTGAGTTTCATGTTTAGACTTTGGTCTCATCTCAATGGTATCTCATTATGTGTATGCAAATAATCCAAAATCTGAAAAAAAAATGAATAAATTGGATAAAAGACACTCAACTTGTACATTCCAAATTTCTTGTGTCTTGTACAGGAAGGGAACAATAATGTTTTGATAACTTACCTCTTTCTTTTCTCTGGCTTCACTTTTCTGCTGTTCCCTCTGCCACAATTTTCTGACATTCTTAAACTGTGTCTTGGAAATAGTTTCCCATCTCTAGGCATATCAAAAGAAAAGACAGGATATACTTTAATAATAATAATAATAATAATAATAATAATAATAATAAAATAAATTTTATTTTTAACCCACCCCTCTGCAAGGCAATCGAGGCGACGTACAAAGTTAAAACAAGACAGCAGTTAAAACAATTCCATCCCCCCAATCCCTAACCCACCCACCCCACAAAAGTCGAATTAAACTAATAGAATAATTAAAATAACAAAATAAATCGATACAATGATTTAAACCTTGAAACGAACAGTAGTGGCAGAGAACACTAGCCATCCAACTCTATTGGGGCGGGAGAGTTATTCTGGGAAGGCCTGTTGGAAGAGACCCGTCTTTACTGCTTTTTTAAAGCAGTCAAGAGTGGTAATAAGACGGATCTCATCCGGCAGGCCATTCCATAATCTTGGAGCGGCGACAGAGAAGGCCCTCTGGGAGGTCTGTGACAGCCTAGATTTCATAGGCTTTCTCATAAAACAAATGTTGAAAGTGATGGTGTTTGCATTAAAACTAACCCCAACTTTTTCCCCTATTTTTTTTTTTAATTTCATGGTTCTCCATGAAACATTAACAGTTAAATGTAAAGTCCTCAGAACGGGGACTAGGGCAGCCATGTTTATTGAGATATGGCAACTGTCAGGTACAGCTTGCCCCCTGCTCCCTTTCCAGACTCAAAAAGACAAACTCCAGACTCCAGTCTCAGAACAGCTTTTACTGAAGAAGAACGAAACCAAAATAGACAGGCCCGTCACTTTTTTTTGCCAAGTCTACAGTTATAATATATTCAAACACTTTTATAGAAATTAATAGGTTCCCTCCCTTTGGGTTTGTTTAACTCTATGTTGGTCACTAAGTTCACCAACTTCCCATGCTTTATTCATTTAGGTAATGTAGGACCTGAACAGACTGCCAGAAATAATCCAGTTTGAGACCACTTTA